ACACCTAGGCTATATGGTCTAGCCCACTGCTCCTAGGCTACAAACCTGGATAGCATGTTAAGGTACTGAATACTGTAGGCTATTGTAACACAGTAGTAAGTATTTGTATATCTAAATATAGAAAAAGTACAGTAAAAATACGGAATTATAATCTTAGGAAACGACTGTCACACATGCAGTCTATAGTTGACCAAAACATCCTTATGCAACGCATATCTATACTCATCTGCCCAGTCCTTAAGATTTCTAATTTTCAACTTCTAGTTCTACCTATCAGCAGTATGCTAATAACCATATATCTCCATTTCTAGCCCTCACTCAGATCCACCTACCATCACATGTATGTTCCACAGACACTTCAAACATGAGAGCCCTGACCCCTCTGTTCTCCTGGAGTCTCTATTTCAAATGTTAACAACATGCACCAGTAAGCCAAGTCAAGAACATCACCCTCTAACTATGCAATTTTCTTACCTCCCTTTTCTAAGCAATCACGAGTTCCTTCAGATTTATTTTCTACAGATGGCATCTCACTATGCTTCCCAGACCAAAGTGCAGTGACTATTCACAGGTGCAATCATTGCACACTACAGTCTTGAACTCCTGAGCTCAAGCGACTCCTGCCTCAGTCTCCAGAGTAGTTGGGACTATAGATGTATACCACTGTGTCCCAGCTCCTATAGATTTTTAAAAATCTGCAATCTAGTCCTTTTTCCATCCCCATAAACACCACTTTAATCTATTGGGTCTAACTGACGACCACAGTTATGGACGAACTGTCCATGCTCCGAGCCAAAGACAATGCTCCCACCTGTGCTATAGGCGCCATTCTCTCTTGCCTTCTCCAGGACACTGATCCAACAACTCTCCCCTTTCTCTCTTGCATCATCATTTTTTTCCCTCTTTACTGAATCACTGCCAACAAATAGAAACATACTATTATTTCTCTTAGCCTAAAAAAAGAAAAAAACTCCCTTGTTCCCAACTTTCCCCTCCAGCTACTCGCTATCTTTCTCACCTTCCCTTTACAGCAAACTTGAAAGCCCTGACCATACTCCTATTTTAAAACTGCTCTTCTCAATATTACTAATAAACTCCTCATTATTATATCCTGGGATCATTTCTTAATCCCCGTCTTACTTGATCTGCCGGCAGCATTTAACACAGTTGCTGATCCTTCTCTCTTCCTAGAAACACTCTTTCTCTTGGCTTCCAGGGCATGACATTCACTTGGCTTCCCTCCTCTTTTTGGTAGCTTCTTCTCAGACTCCTTTGCTGATTCTACCTCATTCCGCGCCCTCTAAATAAATGTGTGAGTGGCCCAGGGCTCAAACATCTTTTCTCTCTTTACTTACTCCAAAATTCTGGTGGATTTATATACCATCCATATGCCAATGACTCCCAGATTTATTTCTCCAGCCCAAACATTTCTCTTGAATTGCACTCCAACTGTCTACTTGACATCTTCATTTGTATATCTGGTACACACCTAAAACTTGCTTAATAAACATGTCCAAAGCTAAGCTCCTGATGCCCACATTGCCCTTGTCCCACAAAGGTAGTTTCTCCTGAAATCTTACACCTCAGTTAATGGCAACTCCATTCTTGTTACTCTAGCCAAAACTCTTGGTGTCAACCTAAACTTGTCCTTCTATCATATGCTACAGTTCAACCTTCAAAATAAAGACAATATCATACAACAGAATATTACTTAGTAATATAAAAGGAAGGCCGGGCACAGTGGCTCATGCCTATAATCCCAGCACTTTGGGAGGCCAAGGTGAGAGGATTGCCTGAGCCCACAGGTTTGAGACTAGTCTGGGCAACTTGGTGAGAGCTCATCTCTACAATACATCAAGAAAAATTAACTGGGCATACTGGCACATGCCTACAGTTCCAGTTACTTAGAAAGCTGAGGCAGAAGGATTGCCTGAGTCCAGCAGGTCGAGGCTGCAGTAGCCAGGAGCATGCCACTGCCCTCCAGCCTGGGCAACAGAGTGAGACTCTAATTTAAAAAAAAAAAAAAAAAAAATATATATATATATACACACACACACATATTATATATACACACACACACACATATATATACACATAAATAACTACTAATAATGTAACAACATGGATGAATCTTAAAAACATTATGCTGAGCTAAAATAAAGTCAGACAAAAAGAGAGTACATACTGTATGATTCCATTTATGTGAAACTCTCCAAATGAAAAATCTAAGCTATAAAATAAAAAGCAGATCAGTGGTTGACTCAGGCCAGGGGCTGGGGCTAGGACTGACTCAAAGAGGCATAAAGGAATCTTTTGGAGTGGTGGAAATGTTCTGTTATCTTGATTGTGGTAGCAGTTATGAGTAAACAAATTTATCAAAAACCGTAACAGTATAATGTGTACATTTTATGTTAATTGTACCTCAATAAAGTAGATTAAACACACACACACACACACACACACACACACACACACACACACACACACACACACACACACACACCTACACCATTTGACCACCTCTCACTATCCCCCTGCTTCCGCTGCCACCACGTGGGAACCACCATCATCTCTCTAATAGTCTGCCTGGTTCTGTCCTTATCTCTATGAATTATATTCTCAGCACAGTGGCCAAAGTAATCCTGTTAAAACATAAATCATGTCACGTCACCCCTTTGCTCAAAACCCTCTAATGGCCTCTCAGTCAAATTCAATGCCCTTATAAAAGGTCACACATGACCGGGCTCCCTGTTACCTCTCCAACATCATCTCCCATTACTTCCCACCCCCCACTACGCCCTGCATGGTTATCTGCACTACAACCAGAGCTAGCCTCCTGGCTGTTCTTCAAATATGACAGGCACAGGTTTTATACTCATCATTCATTGCCTTCAAATGATGTACCCATCCCCCTTCCTCCCCAACACAGCCATATACCTCATTCCCTCGCTTTCTTCAGCTCTAACCAAAATGAGCCATCTCAGTGAGTCTTTCCCTGGCCACCCTATCTAAAATTTCAACACCGCCCCCCCCACACTCAACCTAACTTCTATTTCATTCTCTTCCCAGTCTTATCACTCTCTCATTTACTCATATTTTAGCAATTTATCTTGTTTATTGGCTTTCTTCTCTACCAGAATTGATAACCCAAGGGACAAGGAGTTTACTCTGTTTTGTACATCACTGTCTCCCCAGAATGTCTAAAATAGATGTTGAATGAATAAATAAATATACAATCTCGAGCTTTCTCTCTAACAGTTGACAGTAATAGTTGACTTTTGTTTTTATAGATGCAACAATTGATATTTCATTTGTTTTCAAAAATTCTGGTATATTAAATACTTTAGCACATTTAAACATATGTTAATATACACCAGCCAAAATTTGCTTTCAATTCTAATCAAGAATTTAAGATCTATCAGACACTGAGAACTTTTTAGCAAATTTGCAGACTATCTTGTGGATCAAGGACCTATGAATGTGAAATAACTCTCATATTGCCAAAAAAATAAATATAGTCTTCCCAAGTTCTTTGCAAAAGCCAGATCTTATGCTGCCTAAGATGCCCATAACTACTCCAGTAGAAAATAAACTAATCAATTTGACAGACTCAGAACTAAGAATCCATCTTAAAAATATGCATAACTTATTTACCCTTACCATTTAAATCCTTCACTGGAGGAATTTCTTGTTTTATAAGCAATCCACATAAATATGGGAGTGCTAAGGGGAAGATAAATAATTTAAAAACAAATGAGAAGGTAGAAGTGCCTTTGCTCTAGAGATCTGAGTCTTTTCTCCTTTAAACAAGCAGACAATACAGTCTCTGAAGGTCTAAAGGAGGTGTCTCCTGAGTTGCTGCAGAGAATTCCATGCTGCAGCCTTTACCTGCATCCAGCACCTCCTTCTTGAAATGCATTAAAGTATTCAACTTCATTCAAGTAAGGAGTTCTAGGTGCAGGAGTTATCTGCTTTGGTTTAAAAGCAACCTTACATAATTAACCCAAAAAAAGAAGACTCTGGGTCTTCAAAATAGGATTTAAAATATTTTATGAAGTTAAATATAGTAGAATATTTCAGGAGAGCATCATAATTTAAGCAGTTCTGAATAAATAATATCACCAAACACAGTAAATATTTTAAGAATTAGCAGAAGAAAGCACAGGAGAGATCACTATTGAGTACAATGGTTTATGTTTATAGTATATAACCCACATTTTTCATTCTATGTGTCAATTTCTTAAGACAATGAAGAAAAATAACTGCAATGTACTATCCTAGCATATAAGGACAATAGCTGCCTGAACAGCTTACAATAACAGATCTAGTCACTGTTAGACTTCAAAGCCAAAACATTCTTAAGCAATAAATTCACTTAATATTGACTTATCTTGGCATACCTAGCATCTGTAACAGTGCACTGTCACTTGTAGTTCAGAGAACGTGATAACCTCTCCAAATCTTTTCATTTCTAAGTTACTTGCACTGCTTTAAACATAAAACAAAGATTACTCTGAAAAGGCAAAATAACAAAAAACATTAACACCCATACTAATAGGCACTCCTAATAGATGAAAAGTCCTTTAGAACAGGATCATTAAAATCAACTTTTATTCACTGGTTTATAGTTTTCAAAGCAAGATGAAATGAGAATGAGCATACAGTACCTTACCCTTTCTACCGGTGAGCCATAGCATGCAATGCCGAAACATAGCAGTGGCAGATGGCATGGGTGTTTTTAACTATAAAAGGATAACAGCAGAGAAATGACGGCTGGCAGACAAAACACAGAAATACAGATGAAATGAATGCAAACTTGTAGTTCTTGAAGCAGAGCAAAACCTTTAAGCCAAAGGTTGCCCCTAGCTTCAATGTCATTTATATTTTGAGTTTTACACAGACAAACACTGCAACCTTTGCAATCAGTCTTTAGACTCTTCATGCAGAAGCAGAACCATACTCCTTGATAAAGAAGATCAGCAACCTTCTGTAAACACAAGCCAGCAGCAGCAGCAGCCCATTACTCTCTCCCTTCACTGATTTTTATCCTTTAAATGTTTAATCTCCAATTGCAGCCAGATCCACAGTCGTTTCCAACAGATCTGTATCCACTGCAGATACAAATCCCTGCCTAACCTGCAGTAGCACTTTATCCAGAATGTTCCTGTGCACTCGTTCATGCAGGATCAGTTGCAAAACCATTTAAGTCATCCAGCAAACAGCCCAAAAGAGAAGGAAAGAAGCAGTTGGGACCGTGAAGAGAAAGAATCTCTTCTTTCAGCTCACCCTGGAAATGGAAGGTTTTCTGATCAACAGTTATTGTGAAGGTGCTGTCGTCCTCATCGTCTATACCAATCACAGCTCCCTGTGAAACAAAGAGCAAAATCCCAATAAGGCAAACAATGACATCAGCAATATTCACTACTGCTACAGCCCTGGAATACTCAATGCACCGATGACACTGGAAGCAGACTAGACACAGAAACGGAATCTGAGATGCTAGTTTTTCTCAAGGAGGAAGAACTAAAGGGGTGTGGGGGGAGGCGGGCAGGACACTCTAGTACCCTGCATGGGTACTGTCTATGCCCTGCATAAAGGACATGGATGTGGTGGGAGGGGGAGGGGACAAACAGAAGCTGAGTGTACAATCTGGGTTTAAGCGTCAGTCACTGAGACTTTCTGAGCTTTACCCTGCTCTCTAAAATGAGAGTGAGAAACCCACAGCTCACCAGGTTGTTGCAAGGCTTCATCAGCCTGCTTCTGTGTTATTATACTTACTAGGGTAGAAATGCCAGGTGACATTTGCTTCAAAACACTGTCCCAACCCCTTCTTCCAGATGCTCCCATAACCACTTGTAACACTGCTTGGCTATTGCACTTTTCACACTCTACTGGGATTATCTGTTCACACATCAGCCTCCTTCCACTGAACTGCTTTGAGGTCTTAAAAATCAAAGACTATTTTATTTAATTTGACACATGGCACTCAAGTACACACTTAGTGTGAGTTTTCTAAATAGGAACATTAACAACTCTCCAGATAGTGGGGGATGGAGCCACAGTGGGGAACTATGCTTATAAGTTGTTTTGGGAAGGTACATAGGATAGGTTTTAAACCTTTATTTTTTCATATTCAACTACATGCATTCTGTTAAGATGAGAGGAATTAAAGGAAGAGACAGAAAACTATGGAAAATAGAGAGTTTATTAGCCAGTGTCCTTAAGAAATAAGTGTCTGAAGTATTCATGAGAGAAAGACTAGAGAATATGGGGTAGATCAAAGGCCCCAGGTTGGTGACAAGAAAAACAATATGCCAGAGACCTTGAAAATAGGGGCTGAAAAGACTCAAAGGCACAAAATACCTAATACCATGAAAAAAAGGTAACATGGGACTACTCCTATCACAGGAATATCAGTAATAGAATCAAACATTTATTCATCGCTTCCCAGAGGCTGTCTAAATGAACCCCAAATCTACCCAAATTCCATCTACTTGAATTATCTTATTTATTCCACAGTTTCAGAATTGGGTAGAAAATTTGATCCCCATTTTTAGATAAGGAAAATGTCTCCAGAGAGTATTAATGACATGTCCAAGGTCACACAAAGAATCAATAGCAGAACCAACACCAGATCACCACTGGCATGGTACCCACCTATGCCATGACAGCAAATACAGACACACTTCAGTGGAAAAGCATGTGTAGGAACAGTTCATTGTGGTTAACTTAATTTTGTGGCTGAGTTAACTTTCTAACTTACGATTTATCAGATATTTGCTGAGTCATAACTAAATACAAAAATATGAATTTAGGTACAGCTCTGGAATAGATAATAAAAGTTCCTGGGCAACCCCCTTGGGTCCCCTCCCACTGTGGGAGCTTTTCTGTCCTCTCAATAAATCCTGCTTTCATTAAAAAAAAAGAAAAAAAGTTCCTGCCTTTAAGACACTTATACTCCAGCAGATGAAATAAAATATGCAAAGAGGTAAGTAAAACACAATGCAAAAAAGTAATCTCTACCTGGGTGTACCTTGAAAACAGTATCCTAAGTGAGAGAAGCTAATCACTAAGGACCACATCTGATATGATTCCATTTACAAGAACTGTCCAGAACAGTGGCTCACACATGTAACCCCAATATTTTGGCAGGCCAATATGGAAGGATCACTTGAGGCCAGGAGTTCAACCCCAGTCTGAACAAAAAAATTTAAATGAGCCAGGTGTGACAGCACATGCCTGTCGTCCCTGCTAGTTGAGAGACTGAAGTGGAAGGACTGTTGAACCCAGGAGTTTGAGGTTACAGTGAGCTATGATCATGGCACTGCATTCCAGCTTGTGTAACAGACTGGAACTCTGTTGAAAGAAAGAAGAAAGGAAGGAAGGAAGAGAAAAAAGTTTCCCTGTCAAGAATAGCCAAATTCATAGAGATTCAAAGTAGATTAGTGGTTACCTAGGATCCAGGGCTCAGGGGCTGGGGTGACATGAGGAATGACAGCTGATGGGCACCGGGCTTTTTTATGGGGTGATAAAAACATTCTAAAATTGACTGTGGTTATGGTTGAACAACTCTGTGAGTATACTAAAAACATTAACTGTATACTTTAAGTGGATGAACTACATGGTATATGTATTATACTTCGACAAAACTGTTGTAACTCACCCCACTCTCAAAGGCCTGTTCTTTCTTTTGGATTCCTTAATGAAGAACCCAAATGTAGCTCATCAGTCACCTAGTCAACTCAGGTAGAACTCTCTAGGTGTTATACAAGCTCCCCCTCATTCCATCACCACAATCCTGCTCATTCTACCTCTAAACTTTCATTTTAAGGTCATCAGCTCTTTTCTGTCCTCATTGCTACTCCTCGAATTCAGACTGTTGTTTCTTGTTTGATAATGCAAACTGACTGCCCTCAGTCTGGCCCCCTTCTGTTCCCCATCCTTGCTATTGCCAGAGTCATATTTCTAAAGCACAAACGATTACGGAAGACCCACATGTTTAAAAGCTTTGCTGTCTCTCCATGAGATCACAGATATTGTGAACATGACTTCACAAGGCCATTCAAGGCTGTTCAAAACTGGGCCCAACCAGCCTTTCCGCTATGATCACCCAGCCTCCTTTCTCTTCACCTCACAGAGACCCTGTATGAACTCAGTCTCAACATTTGCTCTACACACTGAAAAAAAAAGCACTAAGTAATTTCACTTCTTAATGTCATTCTTCAAGCTATATTCCCTGCCATTTGTTCAACAAAAGCAAAACATCACATCTCCCTCTAGCTACCACCTTCCCTCTGATTGCTTTCAGAGAGAAGCTTTCTGGAAACTGGCCGTGCCTTCTCCTTTCATCCATTCCTGCAATCTAGCTTCCTTTTTTGATTTGTTCAACTTAAATAAACATCACTGCCATCCTCAATCAGTCACTCATTCTGTACAATAGCCATGAGCCTCATGATAGGTACTTAAATGTGAATTAAAGTTAAACAAAATATAAAAATAAGTTCCTCAGTCACACCAGTCATATTTCAAATGCTCAGTTGCCACATGTGGCTAGTGGCTATGGAACAGACCAGTACAAATACAGAACATTCTAATCACTGCAGAAAAGTTTTGTTAGATAGCATTGCCATGGATCTTGTCATCACAGAGCACTAAAACATAGTAAATAGTGAATGCTGCCAGTCACCGAACATTTTCAAGATGCAAGGCATTATGCTAAGCATGTTACACATACCATCTCATTTGAAAACAACATACTGAAATGTAACATATGCACAAATAAGTATACAAGCTCAATAAACAGAAGTTTCCCTTGTAACATTTTCTAATCATTAACCCTAACATCACCCCAAAGGTAAACACTATCCCCAGTTCTAACATCACAAATTAGTTTTATCTGACTTTGAACTTTATATAAACGGATTCATACAATTTATTTTCCTTTGTGTCTGACTTCTTTCATGCACCATAAGGTTTGTGAGATTCAACCATGCTGTTGCATGAAGCAATAGTTTGTTTATTTTTACTGCTATGGATTTTTTTTTTTTTTTTTTAATTAGAGTCTCACTCCGTCGCCCATACTGGAGTGCAGTGGCCGCTTCCGGCCACCGCAAACTCGCCTGCTGGGCTCCGGCGATCCTTCCGCCTCAGCCTTCCAAGTAGCTGTAATTACAGGCGCAAGCTACCATGCCCAGCTCATTTGCTATGGATCTTATGGATCTTATGGATCCACAATGAAAGAATCACCATTTCTACTGGAGTTTGTTTGTTGGCTGAAAAGGCAGCTGTGGGTATTCTAGGTCCTTTATAAGTTTTTTAGTCAGTTGGGTAAGTTATACACACACACATAAACTTGCCAGCACACTAACTGAACTGACTAGAAACAAACATTTACTTAAGTTTTCTTTGATTTTAATAATGTTTATCATTTCCTGAGTACAGGTCTCACTCATCTTTTGTTAATATTTAATCCTAGCCAGGAGCGGTGATACTGCCTGTAATCTCAGCACTTTGGAAGGCAGAGGTGAGAGGACTGCCTGATCCCACGGGTTCAAGACCAGCCTGAGCAACTTGGTGAGACCTCATCTCTACAGTAAAAATAAAAAAAATTAGCCAGGTGTGGTGGTGCATGCCTGTAGTTCCAGTTACTTGGAAGGCTGAGATGGAAGAATCACCCAAGCCTAGCAAGTTGAGGCTGTGGTGGTCATGAGTGTGCCACTGCACTCCAGCCTAGGCGACTGATTGAGATTCTAAACCAAAATACAAAATATTTAATCCTAAAAAATTGACAGTTTTGATGCGATTATAAATGTTCTTTATTTCTTAAAAATTCATTTTCTCATTGCTAGCTGCTAATATATTGAAATACAGTTGATTTTTGTATAGTGACTTTGTATCCAGTTATCTTGCTAAATTCAGTTATCATTCTAATAGTTACTTCTGTAGATTCTTATGGATTTTGTATATGCTCATTTAAGTTGCTGTGAATAATAGTCTTATTTCTTCTCCAATCTTCATACCTTATATTTCTTTTTATTACTTTATTCATTGGTTAGGACTGCCAACATCAACAAAGGCAGTTGTTGGGTAGAAATTCCAAACCTTCCTACTATGACCCCACCAGAAGATTCACTTGCATCTAAGCCCATCTTGCTTCCTTTCTACCTGTCATAATGGAAACGGTAACTATCCCTCTATCTAAAACCCAGTCCCTCCATGCCTGCTCCATACTGCTTATCACCTTTTCTCAGGTCTCTTCCTCTGCCAATTTTCCTCCCTCTCTTTCTCTCTCCCTCCCTCCCTCCCTCTCTCTCTCTCCCCTGACTCTTTCCCAACAGCGTCTACACAAATTCAAGTGTACTCTCT